GACGTCAGACCCGAACTAACTACTCAAGTGTTTACACGGCGAAGGCGGGAGCGGTACTGCTGCATGTTGTGAAAACACGCTTGTTCCTTACTGTATTACTAACAGTAGTGCTTTGTACATGTCGTTTTTAATATATGATTTTTAACGTTCTGATGTTTAATTCGTTGTCATTTTTTTCTATAATAGCGACCATGTGCAGATAGTTTTGATTTTAACTGAAAGTTTTAAGGGTCCCACAGGTTGTTTGTTAATTTGTGAAAGATTGGTTTAGCGCTATGAGCAGGTTAAGATCTGCAGTGCAGAAGGGGAAGAGAGCGGCTCTAGAAAACACAGAGGTGGTCAAATCCAGCAATAAGAAGAAATCAAAGTCTGCCATTAAAGAAGGTGAAGTGGTTCTCTGTGTGCAACTGAGAAACGTTATAAATCAAGGCAACTCGATGTTTGCCTTTAAAATGTTATAATGTTTAAGTTTGATTTCTTACTCCCACCAGAGGAACCATCTGAAACTGAACCGTCCTCATCATACCACTTTTTCCATGATCCTACTGAAATCCCTCTTTTCCGCTCTCACCTTCTTCAGTGGTATGATCAGAATAAGAGAGAGCTTCCCTGGAGGACACTGGTAAAAGCATCTAATATTCTTAATTAGTAAATAACCTAATCTAACAGACTGTACATAGTTTTTGTCACGTGACTATGCTTTTTGGGCCCATCGTATACAGCTGCCTGAGAGATGCTCATTGGAAGTGATCAGCATTTCAATGCTATAATTAATTAATAATAATAATTTATGCATTTAGCAGAATTATTAGCAGGGAAAATGTTGACTGTGGGGTTAAGTGTGTTAGTTATGCTTGAGGGTTATTTGTGTCAGTGGCTTAACTAATGACTATTACAAACACTGTTACAAAATTGTTTAATTGCATTCAATGCAAATAAGACTTGTGTGTGTTGTAATCCATACAGGCTATGACAGAACCAGGTGTTAATATCAGGACATATGGAGGTATGAAAAAGTGTTTAATGTCATGATCATCATAATCTAAATCCTTTTTTTTTTTTTTTGTAAATGTATTTATTTTATTTTAAAAAAAAATCTCATTCCATCCTCAGTGTGGGTCTCAGAGATCATGTTACAGCAGACCCAAGTTGCCACAGTGATAGACTACTATAACAGATGGATGAAGGTAGGCAAGCTGTTTGACATCTACTCTCACAGTACCTCAGGAATGCCACATTTTATGCTGTTTCTGCATCTTTATTTTTAGAGATGGCCAACTGTGGAAAAACTTGCTGCAGCTACACTGGAGGTGATAGTTAAATCCATAGACATACACAAAATAAAAAGACAGAGACATAGTGAGCATCTGACAGCAGTGTATTATTGTCTCCCTGCAGGAAGTGAACCAAATGTGGGCGGGTCTTGGATACTACTCTCGAGGCCGCAGGCTGCACGAAGGTGCTCAGAAAGTAGGTTTAAACATAGTAATGCAGAATTTAGATGCAATTTAGATGTGTTCTTTCATATATTGTAATCTGCACATATTAAAAGATGTTGAATCTTCCAATAGGTAGTATTAGAACTGGATGGACAGATGCCAAAGACCACAGCAGGACTACTAAAACAGCTGCCTGGTGTTGGACGTTACACCGCTGGCGCAATCAGTTCTATAGCACTTGGACAGGTACATTTGTTTTGTTGATGCATTTGATTAGGCCCATGTTCTTAAAGAAATGGTTCACCAAAAAATTGCTGAAATTTACTCGCCCTCAAGCTGTCAAAGATGTTGATGAGTTTGATGAGAAATTTAGCATTTCATCACTTGCTCACCAATGGCTCCTTTGCATTGAATGGGTGCCATCAGAATGAAAGCCCAAAAAGCTGATAAAAAATCACAATGATCCACAAGTGATTCACACAACTCCAGTCCATAAATTAACATCTTGTGAAGTGAAAAGCTGCATGTTTGTGAGAAACAAATCCATCATGAAGACATTTTTTTTACTTAAAGCTGTTGTGCTCTCATTTGATAAACCACATATTAGTTTAGAACTGTTTTGGACTGTTTGCACTTGTAAACTGTGCCTCATTTGTGCATATTTTTCTCCTGACTCAGATGACTTTTTCACTGGAGAAAGCAATATTTTGTATAGAGGACTTGGATTTCAGCTGGAAGCAACAGTTTGAAGTTAAAAGCATCTTAATGATGGATTTGTTTCTTTCAAACACACAGCTTTTTTCTTCAAGACATTAATTGATGGACTGGATTTGTGTGGATTACTTGTGAATTATGTAATATTTTTATCAGCTGTTTGAACTCTCATTCTGGCACCCATTCACTGCAGAGGATCCATTGGTGAGTAACTTAGGTAATGCTAAATAAAAAAAATCTAATTTACATCTTAAAGATCCTATCTTTGGGGGAACTCCTACTCCTTTAATAGAATTAATTTACTTGTGTGATCCACTAACAGATCAGTTTGGGCAGCATTGCATTGTCGGGATATTAAACACTGAATATTTAGCAGTAAATGCAGTTTATTTATTTGATGCAATGATGTTTGTTGTTCTCCAGGTGACAGGTGCAGTTGATGGAAACGTCATTCGAGTTCTTTGTCGCGTTCGAGCCATTGGTGCAGACAGCACCAGTCCTGCTGTAACAGATGCTTTGTGGTACTGAAAGATCCATCAAGTTTATGTACTGTTAAGCAAATTTAGATCTAAGTTGTAAAATGTTAGATTTAATTGTGATCTTTATTGGTCTATTTCAGGAAAATTGCTGATACACTTGTTGACCCAGAGAGACCTGGAGACTTTAATCAGGCTATGATGGAATTAGGGGCCAGAGTCTGCACCCCAAAATCCCCTCTTTGCGGCCAGTGTCCCGTTCAAACCCACTGTCATGCCTTTAGGAAGGTACTGCTGAGCAGCTCTCACCAAAACGCTTCCTTGTAAAACTGTCAAATGACTTATTATATATCAGATTTTATATCTTTTATACTGTAGGTGAGCATTAAACAAGAGATTGACTCCAAAAGACTTCTAAGTAAACTTGTCTCAAAGCTCAACACCTCAGTTCCTGACATAGAGAATTGTTGTAAGTTGTAAAGTCTTCTGTTAATCACAAAATATTCTCTTTTTAGCCATACATCAGATCTATAAATTAAAAGCAGTGTCTAATGTACATTCATTCTCTGACAGTGGCTGCTGGCAGCTGTGACTTGTGTCTATCAGAGGACTGGAACCCTCAGCTGGGGGTGCAGAATTACCCAAGAAAGCCTGTTAAAAAAGCTCCACGTGTGGAGCAAACCCTAACCTGTATAGTGGAACGTCAGCAAGCTGGAGAAGAGATGGAGTATTTTCTTACTCAAAGACCAAGCAAAGGTGAAACAATAGTTTTGACTGGGTGAATGAGAAAAAGATGAACAACTTCTAGAAAATATGATTTTGGATTACATGGATGTGTTGCAGGACTCTTGGCAGGGATGTGGGAGCTACCCAGCATGCTCTTGGAGGCTGACACCTCTGAGAATAAATATAAAGGCTTGATATGTGACATGATGCAAAAACTGCAGGAAAAATCTCTAGACGCTAACTCAGTGCAGTTTGTGGGAGAGGTGGGTGTTTTCCCCAAAACGTATCATCTTGGGTTTAGAATAATCCAAATTGACCCAATATTTGATTTGCATCTTTGGCAATGATGTGCACGTTTGGTTACAATGCATGTGTTTGATATTCATTCATGTCTTTCATGTTCTCTGTCAGGTGGTGCATATTTTCTCCCACATCCATCAAACCTATATAGTCTTCTCCGTGCATGTGTCTGACTGGTCAGAAGGAGAGCAAAAGCAGAAGACCTGCTGGCTCACTAAATCTGCTCTGAAGGAGGCGGCTGTATCCACTGGGGTTAAAAAGGTTGTGTATATTTTCATGGGTTTCACAGCAAAGCCAAATTAACCTTAAAACTACAAAAAATTGTTTGTGTGTACAAAAAATCTTGTGTGTACAAGAAACGCATATTTTTGAAAATACTTTTTTAAACCATGTTGTTACTGTCATTCACATGTATGTAAAGATCTTGTATTTTCAATTGCACAGATTATGAAGCTCTATGAATCTTCAAGCAAGGTGGACAGCAAGGTAAGTGTTCCTGAGTTTGCATGTGCTTCATATTTTGCACTGTTTGGTGTTTTAGAGTTCTTTTCATTTTTCATATCTTATTGATATTAAAATTCAGTTTTTGCCCTATCCTAACATTTCACACTTTTTCAGGAAAAGAAGAGAAAACCCAGCCCTGAGAAACGGTCAAACAAAATAAAAAAGCCTAAGGGTGCTGTTACTAACGAAGGACCCAAACAACTCTGCCTCAGTAAATTCTTTTCTACCTCTAAGACAAAGACCAAAAGCCAAAACTGTTGACAAAAGCCTGTCTGTATATTAAGGTTTACGATTTTGATATGGTCAATGTGTAGTCATCATGTAAATTTGCTATGTTAAGAGTGTCACATAAAATAACACATATTACCTACAGCTTTAATGTTTTCTTTTTTAGAGGGATAGTTGTGTTTTTAAATAAATAATAAATGTATAATAAGCCTGATTTAAAAAAAAGGCATTAAAAGGAATCCAGAATAAAAGACATTTACACAAAAAAATCTTTCTCTCTACTTCTTCATTTTTTTTTAGTTTGCAGCATACTTTTAATTTAACAGTATTTAGCCAGACAGATAAATTATATTACGTGATCATGTTCATTTAATTCTCTGCTCCCTGAATGGCCTTCCCTCTCTGTTACTAGGGTGTCAAAATAAGAGTCAAGGTTATATATATATATATTTTTTTTTTTTTTAACAAACCTGAGATTATTTCTAATATGACACATATGTGGAAATATACTTTCTTAGTAAAAAGTGAGCAAATTTATCTTTTGGTCTATTTGTTTAAATTTCAGATTAATGTGTCTGTTTTCTCGGCCCCAGTGGGACTTTTAAATGTGAAATGTGAGCTGGGTGCAGTCCAAAGTTTTTCTTCCAATAGTTCTGCATAACAACTGATAACACCCTATTTCCCATGTTACTCATAATTTTGTGTGAAGTTTAAAGTTCCTATCTGACCGTGCGACTGACTGAACTCTTCCACACAGTGCGATACACCTGTACTTTTCCTCAGGTAAGTTCTCCGGTCAATTTATGTTGATTGTGAACGTTTGTCTAAATGTGAAATAATCCCTATACGGATAAGAAGACAATTGCAGTCAGATAATAAAAATATCCCATGTATGTTAGATTTCTTGTCAATAAGTTGAACGCCTTGTCATTAAAATTAAGTTGCAATAATTACAAGAGCAGCCTGCATAGGGAGAAGGCATCCCTCAAGGACAAGACCGCAAATCTACTTCCTTAAGGTATGCAACCCTTCGCATTTTTTGTATATAATGTATTAAGAACGCACAAACAAAAGCGGTATATATTATTCCTCTTTATACGTGTTTTACCCTCTTCTGCTGAATGCTAGTCTAGTCTTTTTTTATGATAAAGCATAGTCCTCTATGGAATCAGCATGGCAGAGAGTGGAATCCATGCACCGCTGGATTCTGGAGAATGGGGGTATGCTTTTTTTCGTGTTGTATAAGCATGATTTATTTTACACCTTGTATTTTATTGTACTATCTAGAGAAACGTTACATCATAAAATAAGAATATAATAATCTATAGAATGCACTTTTATGCAAAACTCCTTGTGTTTTCTGTCATGGCATTTCAGATAAGCGGACGGACCCATGGCTTCTAATCTACTCTCCTGTACCAATCATCTGTATGTTTTTGTGCTATCTTGGTATTATTTGGATTGGACCCAAGCTTATGAAACACACGGAACCAGTGAATCTAAAAGCAGTGCTTATTGTATACAACTTTGCCATGGTCGGTTTGTCGATTTACATGTTCCATGAGGTACATTTTGTATTTCATACATACATACTCTAGTTCAGTCCAATATAGGTGCATACTATTTCAAGGTCTTACGTTAAAATAACCTAGTCATCAAATCTGAAATCAATTTTTCTTTCCACAGTTCTTGGTCACATCTTGGCTGGCAGACTACAGTTATCTGTGTCAACCTGTGGACTACAGCCCCAGTCCTCTAGGAATGAGGGTGATTACATCTCTCTCATTTTCTGTTTAGCTGCCTAGTGTTCTTTGCTAATAATCAGTAATTCCTGTTTTACAAATCATAATCAAATTTACCTATGATGTTATCGTTATTTTCAGATTTCCAGTAAAGATACATTGGTTACCTAATTATTACTGTATCTTTTTAGATGGCCAGTGTATGCTGGTGGTTCTTCTTCTCTAAAGTTATTGAGCTTAGTGATACAGTAAGTTTGACTCATTTAAAAAATATGATTGTTGCAGATATTTACACCCGTTTTAGACATACAGTTCAAATAAAGAAGCTTTCCCTCCCAACCTCCTCTCTCAGGTCTTTTTTATCCTAAGAAAAAAGAACAGCCAGCTCACTTTTCTACATGTGTATCATCATGGAACTATGATCTTCAACTGGTGGGCAGGAGTTAAATTTGTGGCGGGAGGTCAATGTAAGAGAAACATTAAATAATTCATATACAGTGGGTACGGAAAGTATTCAGACCCCCTTACATTTTTTCACTCTTTGTTATATTGCAGCCATTTGCTAAAATCATTTAAGTTAATTTTTTTTCCTCATTAATGTACACACAGCACCCCATATTGACAGAAAAACACAGAATTGTTGACATTTTTGCAGATTTATTAAAAAAGAAAAACTGAAATATCACATGGTCCTAAATATTCAGACCCTTTGCTGTGGTATGTGTGGAGAAAACCAGACACTGCTCACTACCTGTCCAATACAGTCCCAACAGTGAAGCATGGTGGTGGCAGCATCATGCTGTGGGGGGGTTTTTCAGCTGCAGGGACAGGACGACTGGTTGCAATCGAGGGAAAGATGAATGCGGCCAAGTACAGGGATATCCTGGACGAAAATCTTCTCCAGAGTGCTCAGGACCTCAGACTGGGCCGAAGGTTTACTTTCCAACAAGACAATGACCCTAAGCACACAGCTAAAATAACGAAGGAGTGGCTTCACAACAACTCTGTGACTGTTCTTGAATGGCCCAGCCAGAGCCCTGACTTAAACCCAATTGAGCATCTCTGGAGAGACCTAAAAATGGCTGTCCACCAACGTTTACCATCCAACCTGACAGAACTGGAGAGGATCTGCAAGGAGGAATGGCAGAAGATCCCCAAATCCAGGTGTGAAAAACTTGTTGCATCTTTCCCAAAAAGACTCATGGCTGTATTAGATCAAAAGGGTGCTTCTACTAAATACTGAGCAAAGGGTCTGAATACTTAGGACCATGTGATATTTCAGTTTTTCTTTTTTAATAAATCTGCAAAAATGTCAACAATTCTGTGTTTTTTCTGTCAATATGGGGTGCTGTGTGTACATTAATGAGGAAAAAAAAATAACTTAAATGATTTTAGCAAATGGCTGCAATATAACAAAGAGTGAAAAATTTAAGGGGGTCTGAATACTTTCCGTACCCACTGTATATTCAGTTTCCTAGCCTTCTTTGATTCTATGTATTTTTAAATACGCATTAAATATAACAATTATGTATGCATTTTTAAAGTTATTTTTTCATGTATTTCATTATTTTGTGTCTTTTTGCCTATTCATTCAGCATTTTTTATCGGGCTGCTGAACACCTTTGTTCATATAGTGATGTATTCTTACTATGGCCTGGCGGCCCTGGGGCCTCACATGCAGAAATATCTGTGGTGGAAGCGCTACCTCACTTCATTACAGCTGGTAAATACACAACACATTGATATTCTGCTCATTTTCTCTTTTAGTCTATCAGAGCCTTTTGTTTCACAAATTTTTATTATTTAGTAAATTGCTTCAATACAGATGTCCTGTTAGTAGAAGGCCAGATGATAACTGTATTATGTCTACTGTTAGTGTTAAGTGTTAACTGTATGCACCAAGGGTCTGAGAGTAATGCAATTTCAATTCTCTGTATGTGTGTGCTGTACATGTGGCAGAATTGACAATAAAGCAGAAAAAAAACATTTTAAATTAAGAATGAAAAAATTTAAAACGGAAACATAACATCAGCGGGACTGTTGAACAACTTCTCATTACAGGTCCAGTTTGTCTTGCTGACTATTCACACTGGTTACAACCTCTTCACCGAGTGTGATTTTCCTGATTCCATGAATGCAGTTGTGTTTGCATATTGCGTCAGCCTCATAATACTCTTCAGCAACTTTTACTACAAGAGCTACATAACCAGGAAGAGCAAGATGTCTTAACATTGGTCCACATGAGCAGAGGCCTCACCCGTCCTTTGATAGACTAATTTGTCCATTGCTGTTCTCACTGCAGTCATTCCTCAGTTAAATTAAGTCTTCAGGACCGAAAATTTGGTGAAACCACTGACCTCATATCTAATTTGGGTTGTAAATGACTTATCCAATAAAGATGTGACATGTCTTATTGCATTTTGGAACCTCAACCAAAATAATTTGAAATTATTATTATCATTTTAGATAACTTTAAGATGGAATCTTGTGTAAAAACAGCTTTGTACTGTCTTATAAATTGTGTCTTTATTAACAAAAGTGAAGTGCACTAGATGGCGCTATTTACGTATCTTGACCATAGATCTTGACTGCAGCTGCCTCAGACGATGTTCTCGCGCGAATTCTCGCGATAATTAATTAGCAGTGTTGCCAACTTAGCGACTTTGTCGCTAGATTTAGTGACTTTTCAGACCCCCCCGGCGATTTTTTTTCCCAAAAAAGCGACTAGCGACAAATCTAGCGACTTCTTAGACAAACCTTAGCGAGTCTCTGTGATCGCTGGTACTGACGCAACGGCGCGAGGTCAGCGCGCACACCTCTCTCTCTGCGTCTGCTCTGTTCAGCCAGCGGCTTGAGGACCAGCGCCTTCAGTTAAAATAGATATTATGTCGCTTCTCTAATTTTACATGCAAATATAGCCGAAATCACAGCACAGGAATTGTCTTTGTCTTGTCTTTTCTTATGTGCGTTTCATTTCATCAGACGATGGTTCAAATATAAAGCAGGATTTTTGTTCAGATTAACGTCTTGGAAGGGAGAGCTAGTTATGCATTTCAGTCACTATTTCATATTTATTCTGTTGTCTGGCAACAGAAACAGTAATATATAAAAATGTAAACGGTTTTATTGAGAATTGGGCTGCATTAAAATACAGTATGTGAGCGCAGAGGGACAAACAAATATAAAAGGCAACAGACGCGATGACGTCATGAATATGCTAATTAGCGTATGACGTCATCTGGCGACATTTCAAACTGGCTGTAGCTACTTTCTATTGAAAGAGGTTGGCAACACAGTCACTCGGAAAGTAGACCAGACATTTTAATGGAAATAATGCAAACGTTATATAGAATTCAAATGATGGGGAGTCCAGTGGTATTTGTATGGGTGCCGGCGCATATTGGTGTCCAAGGAAATGAAACTGCAGATAAAGAAGCAAAAGAAGCCGTTAAAAACAACGACATTAACTTAATTGTTAATCTAAGTAAGAATGAAATCAAGAGTATTATTAAGAAAGACTGAAAGAAAGGTGGCAAAAACAATGGGATAAGGAGAAAAAAGGTCGGTGGTTTTACAGAATTCAAAGGAAAGTGGGAGAGATGAGAAGTGCAGGGAAAAACAGGAGAGATGAGATCGTAATATCGAGGATGAGATTTGGACACACAAGACTAAATAGTACACTTTTTAAAATGGGTAAACATGATACGGGAAGGTGTGAATTTTGTGGACAAGAAGAAACAGTGGAACATGTTATATTGTCCTGTCAGAAATATGAGACTGAAAGAAGGATGCTAATGCAAAATTTTGAAAAAATAAAAATGCAATTTATACCGAGATATATTTTACAAAGTAATTAATGGATTGAATGATACAGTTTTATTTTTCAGTACCTTAAAATAACTAACTAATTTGTGGGATATATATATATATATATAAATAAAAGGGGGAAAAAGGGGGGGGGAAGGGGTCACTGGCACAAGCGTCGTAAAACCGGAGGGAAAAGAAAGCCCTACCATAAGAAAAGAAAGTATGAACTGGGTCGCCCTCCTGCCAACACAAAGGTGCGATACTTTAGTTGAAGAGCATCAAAGATCATAGTCCAACATAAGCATCAGGCTATGAGCGTTATTTCATATGGATTTGATTTAATGACTGCAAAGACGCAGTCTACATTGCAAGTGGTTTAATATGCTGTTCAATGCATAAAACTACATACAAATTTATAATAATAACTGATAATGTACATAAAAATAAATCATTTTAATAATTATTTGTAAACTTTTTAGATCGGCCCCCGTCGTATTCACACAGTGCGCGTGAGGGGAGGCAATAAGAAATACCGCGCGCTGAGACTGGACAGCGGGAACTTCGCCTGGGGCTCTGAGGGTGAGTGAGTGCACATCCCTGCTCATGATAAAACTTTCTGTCGTTCTCTCTCTCTCTTATTCTAGCTCCAAAAGCAAGTTACTACATTTGTATTATATTGACCTAACACTGACACAATGTTAAGCTAGAGAGGCATTGCAGTGTTTGCATAATTATTACGATTTATTACATAAAACCTTGTAAGCCCTTTATTTGTTAGCTTATTAATGTAGTTAACATTTTCTTTATTTGCTAATCAATAAATTGATCTCATTTATAAGATAAATTATGTTTGTGAGGTTTAGGACTAAATTGACCAGCTCTATTGAATTACTTTATTATTGACTTTTTAAACGTGCAGACGTCCATTAAAATGCTAATCATTGTGGTCTACTGAAGGAGTGACCCAGTCAGTCAGTCAAACTTCTGTTGCAAACTTATAAATCGGTGTGTTTTGGTGCATTTTCACCTCCTCTAGCTTCCAGATGTCTTGCCAACTAATATTTTTATTGGTTGTCAGGACACTGAGTCTGTGTGTCAGTGCATTTAGAAGTATTAAAACCATGAAATGCCTTTAGACTGAGATCATGGAAGTGGTGCTTGGAAATTTTGTGTGAAGTCTCTGATGTAACACATCACTGTTTAACAAAACAACTTGCTTGTGCAGGGAAAACTGTTGAATTGACCTGTTCTTAAATGTCTGTCTCATGGGTTGCGTGGACATTTTTCAGTTTTTACACATGGCATACATCATGCCATGTGAATTATTTATTCACTGTGAGCAAATCTAAACATGACATTGGTGAAATCCTACTCTGGAAGTTCTCTGGGTTTTTTTCTCTCGATTTTTGGCAATAATTAAAAGCACATGTAATTTTTCACTCTAACTCACAGGTTGCACTCGCAAAACCAGGATCATTGACGTTGTGTACAATGCCTCCAACAATGAGCTTGTGAGAACCAAGACCCTGGTGAAGAACGGCATTGTTCTGGTGGACAGCACACCGTTCAGGCAGTGGTATGAAGCCCACTACGCCATTCCACTGGGCCGCAAGAAAGGGGCAAAGCTGGTAGGCTTTCATTTCACAGCTCACACTATAAATAGATGAGCATGTGTTTTATTAGAGATGAAATTCAGGCGTCTCAGCCAGAGTGTTCATGCACCCTTGCATGCATATTGCACACAAAATGACAAGAGCTTTTCCAAAACCACGAGCTCCAATGTGTCATCTTTACATGGTTGCTACAATGCAAATTTTCAGAGGAGCTTGTAATTGCATTGGTGATTTATGAAACACTGGCAATTCAAGTGAGTAGAGCAAAGTTTATCTTAATGCAATCAAAATACTGCAGACACCTAAAAGTGTCATAACACCTGCAGTGATTTGATAAATGGCAATATGAAGTGTGAAGTGACGTGACATGTGGCCAAGTATGGTGACCCATAGTCGGAATTAGTGCTCTGTATTTATCCCATCCAAAGTGCACACACACAGCAGTGAACACACACACACACACCGTGAACACACACCCGGAGCAGTGGGCAGCCATATATGCAGCAGTTGGGGGTTCGGTGCCTTGCTCAAGGGCACCTCAGTTGTGGTATTGAAGGTGGGAGAGAGCACTGTACATTCACTCCCCCCACCTACAATCCCTGCTGGTACGAGACTCGAACCCGCAACCTTTGAGTCCAACTCTCTAACCATTAGGCCATGACACCCCAATATATGGGTTTGTATGGCATCTTAAGCAAGAATAAACCAATATTGTTTTCTAATTAAGCTCTGATATTCAATTCAGATATACAATTAAAGACTGGGACCTTGTTCAAACAATCCATTCCACGTAAAACACCAGAATCTAAACCCTCTTGAGATTGAGATTAACCTGAGAAGTTGCCTTTGTAAATTTACATATGTATCTTCATCCCTCAGACTCCAGAAGAGGAGGAGATCTTGAACAAGAAACGGTCGAAGAAGGTTCAGAAGAAGAGCAAGATTAGCAGTTTGCTGGAGCAGTTCCTGCAGGGCAAGCTTCTTGGTGAGTCTTCCACACTCTGAGCCATTCACAACCATCTCCATTTTCTTAAACTGATCATTGAGAAGAGGATGTTTTTTCAACAGCATTAAGCTAGAGGTGACACATTTCCATTATTCCATTGAAGATTGATGGACGCAGGAAGAAGAGCAAGATTAGCAGTTTGCTGGAGGAGCAGTTCCTGCAGGGCAAGCTTCTTGGTGAGTCTTCCACACTCTGAGCCATTCACAACCATCTCCATTTTCTTAAACTGATCATTGAGAAGAGGATGTTTTTTCAACAGCATTAAGCTAGAGGTGACACATTTCCATTATTCCATTCAATCCATGGTCCAAAGCAAATAAACATTACAGTATGTGTCCTAATCCTTGCTGACTGATTTAGTAATATCACAGGATGTTCTCATTTTTATTATCATTTGAGGAACAAGAAACAAGCCAAACTGTGTTCTCACAGACTCATTTTCAGTTTTTTTCCGCGTTGTTCAAAACCAGTCAGACTGGTCTCAGTCAAAGACAAACCTTTGTTTAATTAGTTAAAGAGTCCCAGTGCTTCTAAGCTTGCTTTTTACTGTTCTACCGTCTCAGCTTGTATTGCGTCCAGGCCTGGCCAGTGTGGCAGAGCAGACGGATACATCTTGGAAGGGAAAGAGCTGGAGTTCTACCTCCGGAAGATCAGAGCCAAGAAAGGCAAATAGACTTAAGCAATATAACCAGAGCTCTACAGTGTGCGCATTTATGGGTAAAAATGGCTGTATGAATGTAAAAAGTAAAATTGAATGATTTCTAACAGCGAGCTACTTTCTAATTGGCTAACAAAATTTGCAGCTTTTTTTTGTTGCTTCTTTTCCCCTGTAATATAGCAATTTGCACAATTTAAAATATATTGCACTTCCACTCACCTAAGTATGATCACTTCTGTATCCCACACTAACTGCACTTTCATGTTACAATTTACTATTGCTATTATCAGTGGCACCTGCAGGTGTACGGCTGTAAGCACCGTGTGTACCATGAGCACTCAGAGACTAACCTGAGATTTTTCCCGCAAACATTTCAGCAGTTATTATAGGCCTGTGTGTCCAGTATTTCTGTCGACTCAACCAGCCATGCCATTAATTATGAATTTATTAGTCTTTTGCATGACAAAGTAAATTTCTGCATATAAATATTACGCCAAATAGAAACAGAAAATCGTGCTATACGCACTTTCATGAGATCGGGTTAGCCTACAACAATTAATTTGTTGGCTATTTTACAAATGGGAATACAATGATTTCATGATAAAGTTCAAGCTACCCGTAAAATTTATAGTGAAAGTACTTTAAAAGCATCTGGAATGCAATAAAGTAATTTTTTTAAGCTGTTTTTAAAGCATTTTGCTGCATGGATAAAAAAAAATAGGCTAATACATAATTCACATATCAGACAAAATTGTGTTGCAGCAAATTCTTTTAATTTTAAGGTATTCAGAACAACATAAAAATCAGAAAATATAAGCAGCTATACAATTGACAAAGTTTTCCATATATGCCATTATATTTTGTGTTTTATTGTTTAATTGTACAGAATTATAAAATAAAACGCAAATTATAATCGGGCCTGTTTTAGGCTTTTCCTTATTTTTATATTTTAGACATCCATCAATTATGGTGATGAAAAAAATTACTCGCCATCTCCTCATTGGATGTGCCTTTAGAGAGAAATGCATCTTTACGGATTACATAATGAAAGAGTTTCTATTTTCGATTTGAATTATTTCGTTTTATTATAGCTTTCTATATATTTTTATCATGCCTGTGAGGCAATTCACTGAGTTTAGGTTCATCATTGTGAAGCGCTCCTGCTCAAGACCGAGACGGCAGAAAGCGTTTGTTTTCTTTATTTTATAAAAGCACAATGTTTTGTTGATATTGTGAGTGCACACAAATAAAATACAGTTTAGAATGATGTATTACACTTACCTTTATTAGCAAAAATGTAATGTATTTTAAGTTGTTTCCACTGTTAGAAAAAAATGCAAGTGATCACGCTGGCGCCTCCATGTCCTGCAGTGTGCTTTAGCTTCCATTCTCCATAAGCTTTTTTGGGAGAAGGGGAAAAAAGACTGGCTAGGGCCTATATTTGATGCCCGTGCAGGGCTCTAATCACTTCATCCATCGCGGTTTTGTTCTCTGTTGTTTTCTTCTGTTAGCATGCTCTTGATATATGTATTTTAGCATTTTGTTGAGTTTAAAACGTGTGACGCATTCGTTCTGCTCTCACTGATCATTTGGTAACCCTCCAAAAAACCTCTGTGCGGTGTGTGTACCCTCGGAAGAAATCCTGCAGGCGCCCCTGGCTATTATATAATTTTTTTTTATTTGTTCTATTTATTCCTGTCACTGTCACTTCAGCTCATGTTTTGAGAGTCCAAATTAAAAAAATCAATTATGTACTTAAACAATGACAATAAAGTGATTGAATCTTGAATATGAATCATTCAGATTCCAGGTAAAAAAAAATATTTGTGAAATTATGAATAATTATTCTCATGCCTGATTGTATACAACTAAAACTTATATGACTCATCTCAGTTTTTTAGAGTGATGTTTTCTATGGTCTCATTTGTGATATTTAGTATTTATTTGAAACCTGAAAGGATTGTTCACCCAAAAATTTGAATTTAAGTAAATGAAGTAAATAAGTAAATGAAAATTATTCCTTTAAGGATATGTATGTTATGACATCCTCTCCAAAAGGGGGCAGACTCCACCTAAGAATAGTCTGCAATAGTTTATTAAATTAAAGTTTTTCCTGCTCAGTTCATTTATATGGCTGGGACTAGTTCCAATAAACTTTTAAAAGTAAAGGGAACATATGCAAATCATTTGCAAAATATCTTGCAATTTGATTCTCCAGTATGTTGCATAGTGTTTAAACTGAATTTAATGATATTGGAGTCAGAGTAACACCATATTTATTTAGTTAAACAGTCAACATAATTACCACAGCTCTAAAATATACAATGATGAGCATTAGACCACAATATTCAAGAGTCATTTATTTTCAGAGATTGACAATTATTAATATTAAACTGTACATTTTATACATACGTTGAAGTGTGGTAGATATTAAAGCCATCAACCATTACAAAATAAAGAACTCTGTTTATCTGGGATGATGACAACCAAATGACAAAGCAATACAAACATTTGCAAACATTCACTGACAAAACACAGCAACACTAAATAATTGTTTCCAACACAACAGCCAACAAATCCGAAAAAGAGCTCTGAGAGGGAAATGTGGAACTCATCACTGATGAGCTGTGGTGGTTCTGAAGTTTCTATCAAACCGTTCCAAAAAGTCACAATAGGATCTGAGCTGACCAGCTGGATTTATTAAGACTAGTGATGCCTTGATGACGACAAGGGAGTATCTCATGAGATTTTGAACATATCTTTCAAAACACTGTGGAAAAAAAGCACAATTTCATAACATCCACAAATAAACATGCCACAACACAAACCCCTCATCATTTAACCTTCGTTGCTGTGGAATAGCAGCTTTTCGCATAGTCAAGGAAGCAGATATGTCAGTCCAATTGAGGTGATCCAACTATGCATTTCAGGGAACAAAAGACGAATTTTGAGAAAAAAAAAATCTAAACTCTTGATAGGTTGAAACTGCATAGATAAAAGAAAAGAGAGTTTTGGTCTAAAAGAAGACAATTGTGTTGATAGCCGACAAGGTAAGCTAAGCTGGTCCTATGTTTCTGTGTACACTGACGACATTTGGCTCAAGCCGCGATCGAAGCCGCCCACCTGAAAGAAAACACTCTCCTCTGTGCCCGGTGAGAACTGGCAACCCGATCCTATGATGTCCGGCACCAAGCTGAAACCTTTGCATTATGAAGAGAGAAAAAAAGGGTAAATATGGAAAAATGTGTTAAACTTGTATTAAACTCTAAGAAAAAGTGCAAAAAAATGTCCTGTTAGCCCATAAGTACCTTTGAGGTATTAATTATGCTACTAATGTGCACCCATGAAGGGAAGATAAGGTTGTCAATTTGAGGGTACAGCCCAATTTTTGCAGATTTGAAAAACAATAAGATGAAATACAACAAAAATAATTGGTAGGGCAGTGAAACAAATTGATGGGTAATATGGGAAAGAAAAACGACAAGATGACTACAAGCCAGATCAGTTGAGCTGTTACTAACCATGTTGCTTATTACTGTTGATGTGCTGACATGAAGCTACAGCGCCATAATGTATAATGACAAATTACTATATCAGGTACTTAAATGTATTGTGATATTACTTAATAAAAGGATTTGTGGAGGTAAAAGTGTAGTCACATTTACTGTTCTGCAAATTTTCACAGCCAAAATGCAGTCATTTCAATCTGCTCAATTTCAAGTGAGGGCAAAAGTAGTGAAGGCTAAACAAAGCATTATTCTATTTTAAATAAATATAAAAATGAATCATGCTCTGATACATTGCTTTAATGTCAAAAGCGGCGTTTTAAACCATCACTGGGCGAAAGATTTCCCCATACCAATTTTGTAAAGGGTTTAAGCTGGTCACACAAATTCGCAGTGTTGACCAATAGAAAGCTGCTTGATAAAAGTGACTTCTTTGTGAGCTGTGCTTTATACAACGCTACTCTACTGACAATAGACACATTTTTATGCCCTAGTAATTTCACTAATGAGACTGCACTTTAAGGGGGTATTTGTGTATACCTGTGGAAGAGGTGCTGGTGGAACAGCTCATGTGGAAGCCATTGTGTTGGTTTGTGTTGAAGCTGTGGGACTCTGCAGGTTGATGGCCGCCACTGATGGACTGGTCCATTCTGTAGCCGTCGCCAAAATGGAAACAGCTCTGGAAATTGCCACGGTAATCTGTGTACACATACCCAAACACAAAGTAAAACATCAGAATCAAATGTCATTCAAACTTTTCAAAATGTTCAAAACAAACTAGCGATGGCAAAAACCACAGAAAGCCTGCATTCCTGTTTGTATTTCTATTTTTGGACTATCCCCTTGTTTCTCTGGGGTTGCTTCCAGAAGTGTTAAACAAGAAGTCTCTCTCAGATGGGGGTCTTGGATTTGAGGTGGTACAGTACACACACACATGTACATCTGTGTCCTGACAAGGAAGTTGAGCATTTCTCTTTCCCAGCAGTTCTTTTGACAGACAGCTGAGCTGTTTTGGCCAATTTTGTAAAGGGTTTAAGCTGGTCACACAAATTCGCAGTGTTGACCAATAGAAAGCTGCTTGATAAAAGTGACTTCTTTGTGAGCTGTGCTTTATACAACGCTACTCTACTGACAATAGACACATTTTTATGCCCTAGTAATTTCACTAATGAGACTGCACTTTAAGGGGGTATTTGTGTACCTGTGGAAGAGGTGCTGGTGGAACAGCTCATGTGGAAGCCGTTGTGTTGGTTTGTGTTGAAGCTGTGGGACTCTGCAGGTTGATGGCCGCCACTGATGGACTGGTCCATTCTGTAGCCGTCGCCAAAATGGAAACAGCTCTGGAAATTGCCACGGTAATCTGTGTACACATACCCAAACACAAAGTAAAACATCAGAATCAAATGTCATTCAAACTTTTTTCTATATGTTCAAAACTTAAACTAGCGATGGCAAAAACCACAGAAAGCCTGCATTCCTGTTTGTATTTCTATTTTTGGACTATCCCCTTGTTTCTCTGGGGTTGCTTCCAGAAGTGTTAAACAAGAAGTCTCTCTCAGATGGGGGTCTTGGATTTGAGGTGGTACAGTACACACACATGTACATCTGTGTCCTGACAAGGAAGTTGAGCATTTCTCTTTCCCAGCAGTTCTTTTGACAGACAGCTGAGCTGTTTTGGACTGGGTGGTTTTAGAGCAAAAAGCTTCCTCTTGTGGTTCCAGGCGTTACTTTCAGCCCACATGGTCTGGCTGATGCACACAGCACTGCAGAGACTACGCCAGCTCTCACACTGATGGGACTCTCTGACATCAAACACTGAGATTTGCTGAGATTTTTCAACAGGTATATTCCAATAGATCACAATTAAAGGCAGGCAACTGGAACTGTGAGAGTTTTGATTCTTATTTGTGGTACTTGCTCAGAAAATCATGATTACTAATGTTGCTTTACAATGAAATCAAAATGGACAATTTTTATGGGATACTGCAGTGTTCCTTATAAATTACTGTATCGGTGCACATAATTTTAACCCCATAAAGCCTACTGTGTCAGATGTGACATGTGAACACTTACTGGAGGGAAGCAACTTCTTCAGTTTTTAGAAAAAGCATGTTAAAATGGGAGTATCAAATATGATATATCAGACTTTTGAAGAATGTTCATTGGTTCATCTCTTAATCACTGTATTGCACTGTATCAGATGTTTGCCCTACAATAAAAACTACAGGGCTTTGATCATAAAACCCAGCATTTTAATATCATCTTACCAAGACATATTATGACAACTGATATTTATACATATATATGAATTGGATGCAAATAGTCTGCTATACTGTTAAATATCTCATTGATTTACAAGCAATCAGAATTTCATCTGACTCTTTACCATATACATATCCGCAACGAACAAATTGAATATTTTTGCTCAGTTTGGGCCTCTGAATAAAACAGGTGTTTTTTTCCTCCTTGAGTATGAGCTCCATATATCCTATATACTGTATCATACAATATCAACTATAAAACCTGATGTATCAAATATGATACTCTTCTTTTTTTGCTTTTGTATGAAAGTTCAATAAAATATTAAATTCATTTTTTTCTGGCTATTGCATAAGGCTTTACAGGGTTAAAATAGTTAAGGAAAGACAAATCAAAAGCAATTTCCTTTTAATGCTGACTTCACCTTTTATTACCTCATCTTATTGCTCAGATTTGTGTTAGGTTATGTGGCTTCTTGAAGAGATGTGTACTATTACTTTTCTAAGCAATCATACTGAACAATAAAGCAGACAAACAAAAATCCCATAGACTACTGAAAGTGGTATCTGAGGGACTAAAATGATTTTAGCGACTTTGCAGTGGGCTGTAAATTACTGTATCGGTGCACATAATTTTAACCCCATAAAGCCTACTGTGTCAGATGTGACATATGAACACTTACTGGAGGGAAGCAACTTCTTCAGTTTTTAGAAAAAGCATGTTAAAATGGGAGTATCAAATATGCTACATCAGACTTTTGAAGAATGTTCATTGGTTCATCTCTTAATCATCACTGTATTGCACTGCATCAGATGTTTGCCCTACAATAAAAACTACAGGGCTTTGATCATAAAACCCAGCATTTTAATATCATCTTACCAAGTCATATTATGACAACTGATATTTATACATATATATGAATTGGATGCAAATAGTCTGCTATACTGTTAAAGATCTCATTGATTTACAAGCAATCAGAATTTCATCTTACTCTTCACCATATACATATCCGCAACGAACAAATTGCATATTTTTGCTCAGTTTGGGCCTCTGAATAAAACAGGTGTTTTTTTCCTCCTTGAGTATGAGCTCCATATATCCTATATACTGTATCATACAATATCAACTATAAAACCTGATGTATCAAATATGATATTCTTCTTTTTTGCTTTTGTATGAAAGTTCAATAAAATATTAAATTAAAAAAAAATTTCTGGCTATTGCATAAGGCTTTACAGGGTTAAAATAGTTAAGGAAAGACAAATCAAAAGCAATTTCCTTTTAATGCTGACTTCACCTTTTATTACCTCATCTTATTGCTCAGATTTGTGTTAGGTTATGTGGCTTCTTGAAGAGATGTGTACTATTACTTTTCTAAGCAATCATACTGAACAATAAAGCAGACAAACAAAAATCCCATAGACTACTGAAAGTGGTATCTGAGGGACTAAAATGATTTTAGCGACTTTGCAGTGGGCTCTTTTAATTTGGGCCAGTGAGCAACTACCTAACAAACACTCAGAACAACTTAGCAACACATTAAAAAAAACATTCTGAATAACTTAGAAAGCAAATAACAACACCCTGGCAACCAACCACAACACCCAAAAATCATCGTGGTGACCACCACAAAGAATGGAAAAATCTAGTTTAATATCCACATTGAAAAAATGTTGGTGTAGGGTTTACTCTGAAATTATTTGTGAAATTTACTAACAATTTCTAAGTGAAAATTGTTTCAAAGAAATGGAAAGTAACACACTGAATACAAATTTAGAAGTAGAAAGACTGAAGTAGTATTTTCTTGTAAAATGTAATCCGGTGTTTTCTTTTATTTACTTCGAAAAATACTTCTTTTTTTTCCACAGTGAGTTTTAAATCAGCCTGAAGGAAGTGCTGGACTTTTGATGTGTGTGAAGACTACCACCCAATAAAACCAGAGCAAACAAACACAGAAGGTCTCGTACCCTCACTTGAAGGCAGGTTGTGAAAGGCGGTGTAGGGTTTCTGGTGAGTGTGGAGGTGTTGCTGGCTGGAGGAGGAGTTCTGTTGCTTCTCTAGTGTTGGTGGAGGAGACGTGGCGGCCTTCAGGAGACTGATCCCTGGAGACAGCAAAGCTCCGGATAACCTGGAAGAGAGAAAGTGAGCGTTAACTATTAAGATTAATGGTGGAAGATAAGCAGGCCAAAACAATGCTATAAAATTTCATATAGAGAATATAATTTATACGAGTCCTGTGAATATTACTTTATAGCAACTTTATAGCCTCACCCCATCCTACCTTTAACTCTGAGAAAGATCTGAGAGGATTACCTCAGAAAAAGAGTCACATAGCCTAAAGTGAAACATTATTTATTTATTTCATTCATTTATTTTTTATTTACTCTAACATGCTTTATCCTTTTCCAATTCTCGTTATAATGGAAAGTCAAGAGCCTGGTTTTGATTGAGTACAAGCCCGTTCTTCACTCCAGATGCCACTTATACATAACATGCTCCTGACTTACTGTACACAGTGATGGCTTTGGGGAAGTTATGATAGCTTGCACACAATGGAACAAATAAAGGCTTTGTTAGTGCCATTAGATGCAGCTGTCACAAGCAAGTCTTCAAATATGCAAAACCAAGTTCCAGCGAGACGCGGAGTGCCAACCCAATGGCCCTGTGAAGTCGTTCCTGCCCCCTAAGTCAAGGCTCTCTGCCTTTAGTGCACACATCAAAGAGTCATATACTGAATTTCAGAAATGAACAGAGAACAAAAACTAACTCAAAGAATCGCCTGTTTAAACAGAAGTATAACAAACAGATGCTAGTCATGGAGAGATATTATGAGGACATATGCAGTTATAATGTAAGATATGGAGGGACTGTTCATTCTCCCTAACGATATATGAGATCAGTATTTAGAAACATGTTTACTTTTCTTTCTTAAATATTAAAGACCTCGTAGAATAAATATTAGGATTTTATAGCTTTTTCCATGGCACTCTTTGCTAAAACACATTCACTGTATAAGCTAGTCTACTCCCAAATACTGATCAAATTCACTTTTAGAAGATAAACACTACGGTTCAAAGATGTTTTTTAAACAAAATTAATACTTCTATTCTGTAATTACACAGTAAATGTAGCGAAAATGACAGTAGAGACATATAAATGCTGTTCTTTTGAATTTATCAAAGAAATCTAAAAAAAAATGTATCGTAGTTTCCACAAAAATATTAAGCAACACAACTGTTGTCAATATTGCTAATAATAAGAAATGTTTCTTAAGCACCAAATCAGCAGAATGATTTCTGAAGGATCATGTGACACTGAAGACTGGAATAATGACTGCTGAATATTCAGTTTTGCCATCACAAGAATAAATTACATTTGAAAATATATTCAAGTAGAAAACATTTATTTTAAACTGCAATAATATTTCACAATATTACTGTTTTTACTGTATTTTTGATCAAATAAAAGCAGCCTTGATGACCATAAGAGGCTTCTTTCCAAAACATTAAAAATCTTACCGACCCCAAACTTTTGAATGGTATTGTACACATTATTATTTACAATCTTTCTTGTCTGGAAAAATGAAGCAAAAACATTGATGACTCATCCTGCACTGCACCAATTTTTGTCCAATCAAATGCTCTTGAATGAGAATGTCCCTCCACCAATATTGTGTGCAACCCAGCAGCAAGCAGCAAATGTTTGTTAATTGATATTTGATCCTTTGATATGTCCCACACAAACTACAAAAAACATAAATAAATTAGTGTTAATTAGGCCAGTGATATGATCTCATGTGAGTGATTTTAAACATTAAAAAACAAAAACTATTGCTACGAGTAACACTTTTTTAAACAAAGGAAACCTTACATGCACATTTAGAGCATGTACATTTAAACAGACACATTATAAATTGCATTTAAATTGCCTTTTGTACTATCATCCACAGAGTTAAGACCTAGCGAAGCGCTAATGTAAAATTTGGACTCCAATGAGCTGATCATTCTTTTTTTATTTATGTTTCAGGCCTCATGTGGGAGTGATATTTCCCATCGTTCATTTGCCCAGAATCTGATAAGGACTTCCTTGGATGTTACATCTGTTAGACCATTATGTCGTTTTTCACTCTTAGCCAAATTTACATTCCAAGGACTCGGTTTCATCACAAGTGCATAAAAAAAACTTTTTAACTGTGCTCGGATGTAACCCCATGAGTTCATGGGGCTCTTCTCAAACAGCCATGTCCTCAAAAGCGTTGCTAACATATTTCACAAGGCATGCAGCAAATATACATTTAGGAATTAGAGTTAGAAGGCTAGCCTGTGTTCGTATGCAGGAAAGCTGTTCGGATCTAGTCGCTGGCTATGTATCTGACGTACGGCCATGTGTTTCTGCGGAGAGCACGGCGGCAGCATTCCCTCTGGGAGATGCTGTCAGCACAAGCTCAGGAAACAGTTATACTGTTCATATTTTAACAAGCAGCCTCTATGTGCAGCTAAAGTGAATCATGCTATAATCACTGCCAGCTGCAGCTCGCTAAGGCTCCAGGAATGAGGGGAATCTTTCATATGCAAGATTAATCTCTCCCTTCAGTATTTACCTTCACTGATCATCTGCTTTCACCTTCGCAGGCTCTTTTTGTGACTATACAGCCTGTGTCTCACGTCATAAGAGCTTGTATGGCTGCTGACCTACGGATCATTCAAAAGTTGATGTTCATCTAATCTTCAAAAGTGATAGAAAAGCATTTGGCTTGTTCAAGTATGACACTTAAGTCGAACTGGATGTAAACCAGGAAAGAAAAGTACAGTTGATGCTGTACGACTTTTACACTGTTATAAAACATTTCTGTTTCAAATAAATGCTGTTCTTTTTTTACATTCTATTCATCAAAGAATCCTGAAAAAAGGTATAAATGTTTCCATGAAAATATTAGGCAGCACAACTGACCCTTTGCAAAGACCCGCGGCCCCTTCACACAGTGAAAAATACAATCACGGAGCAAAGAGGAAACTGACACCGTGACGACAGACAAGACAGAACAGGTTATTTTTGGTATGAAAAAGTCTCAGCTTACAAATTGTGTCATTTTATAAGAAATTCAAACTATAAATACCGTTTGGCTCTTTAATGTGTCGTGACAGATCGCTTTAGCGCCTCAGCACGTGAACAGATTTTTTTCATATTTACTAGTTATAGTATGGAGTAAACATGAATGAACATCAGAAGGTGTCTTGTTTCAACCGCGGAAAGACGTCAATACACACCATTTTTTAATGTTTAAGTCCACCCACATTAAAGGGGTCATATGATGCGATTTCAAGTTTTCCTTTCTCTTTGGAGTGTTACAAGCTGTTCGTGAATGGATAAGATCCCTAAAGTTGCAAAGACTAAAGTCTCAAACCCAAAGAGTTATTCTTTATAAAAGTTAAGACTCGTCCACGCCCTCCTAAAACGCCTCATTTAAACACGCCCCCACATGTCTACGTCACGGTGTGGGAAGATTTGCATAATGCCGCCCAAATGTTCAGGCAAAGAAAGAAGGCGTAACTTTGATTCTCGCTGTAGTATTGTTGCTGCCGCCATGTCGTGGAGACCCTGTGTGTTTCGTTGTGAAAGCGAAACTACTTTGTTTGGCCTTCCAAAAGAGGACACGACTAGACATCAGTGGTTAAGTTGTATTTACACACGCTGTCCCAGAACAGTTCAAACCAAATATTCAGATGTGTGCAGCGCATTTTATAGAGGACAAGGACTGTTTCCTGGGAGAGTAGCATACAATGCCGGTGTTCTGACAAATAATGCTGACTCGAAACATGTAAGTACGCTTTCATATTTAAAGGATTTGCCACTGACTATTCAAACGTGAGTTTTGACCAGTGTAGAGCAGTGCTAGTTGTTTGTTCTTTCTCCGATCACAAATGCAGACATTGTTTTAAGTTTACGTGGCGCGATGCAACGCAACGCGTAAAAAGACAGTATAAGTCATTATAATCAGTAATTATGTCCCCAATGGATGCTACAAATGCCTCATTTCGTCGCACTGGGACACGGCATCACAGTATGGTAAGGGGCGTAACATTTCCGTCACACACTTGAGGTATTCAGCCAATCACAACGCACTAGATAGCTGGCCAATCACAGCACACCTCGCTTTTCAGAACGATGAGCTTTGTAAAAATCGACGCGTTTCAGAAAGGCGGGGCATAGAGGAGAAACAATAATGTACAGTATGTGGAAAATAATGTTTTTTGAACCTTAAACTGCATAAACACATTTCATTACACCAAATACACAAAATAATGTTATTTTTTAGCAATGTCATATGACCCCTTTAATCTACTCCTGTCTGGTTTGTTTGTCTGACGAAATGGCCGATTCGGCGACTGGGCTGGCATAAAGTTGGCTTGATGTTGGACGTTCAAATTTAGGGACCGTCTCTAAAGATACATACGACATTGGTATACACTTTTCTAACTTCAATAGCATTTGAGGAGAATGACTTGCATTCATGAAACTGTACAGGTGTTAACTATAATGCACACTTTTTAGATTTTATGCATTATGATTTGTCAGACTGCCTGTCAATCAAACTCAAACTCTCTCTATATATATATATATAATATGATACACAGTACCTATCATTATTTTGGCGTTATTTTGGCAAAAACATGCCAATTGGGAATTAAAATAAACTTCCAGAAATTTTAAATAAATACATTTTCATTTAAATTAGATGTTTATTTACATTTTCTATTGATCGCAGCAGCAGTAATTCAACAAAATATAGCCATATCCTCCATTCAGAATCAGCAAGATGGGGAATTGAGTAATGCAAAATTGTACTTTTGACTGATTTTTGAGCCTTCTAAACTGGTTATTTTGAGTCAGGAGTGATGGGATAGGAAACTTTGGTCTACTATCTATCTTAAAAAAGGCAATGATGATGAGTCGACTTCAGGAACTTCAAAGCATAATGACCTAACCCTTAATAGTTTGCTTGTGAACAAAGTGTTTACAAATGGTATTTCTTCAAAGTAGCAGATTGAGTAATAAAGGCAAAGTGTTTAATGCTGACTGTGATTCAGTGAATGTGACTTCATGGGAACATGTGTGAATATCCCAGAG